GCATAATTATGAGGAACATTAATTTCTCTTACCATCATCTCGTCTCCCAGAATCGAGCTCAATTGCATCTGTCGTCACATCGTCGGCACTCGATTGCTCATCATCGCTTCCATTCACTGCTTCACTCTCTTCAGATGGATTCACCCCAGTTGTAGCACTTATGATCTCGGCTTCTGGAGTATGATCGATTACGCATAACTCTTTCCAATGAAACCCTCACTAAAAACCCTAGTGGCCCTCTCACAATTCACAAATTCAGCGCATTCTGTTGTTTATCTAGCGTTAATCATCATTATAGTTCAAAATTTATCTTGTAAATCCATAAAGCTATAGATTCATAAAACTATCACTTTCACGAATTGCCTCAATCGATAATGATCGTTGTGTGTGTGTTAAATAATAGCAAATAATCGCTTTCATCGCAAGTGCAAAAGAAACCTTTCTGTTCGTCAGCAACAATTTCATCTGGCTTAACGTTTTCAGTGGAGGTTGGCTGGTAAACAACTCCCGCTGATGGATGAGCAACAGGATGTGACTGCAAGAAAATGATCACTTCAACGATTATGGTTTCAATTTGTACATGTACAAAGTTGTGAAAGCAGCCATTTACCAATCTCAGTGATGAATTGCTTAATGAATGACCTTGTTGTTATCAATTCAGCATGTTCATTCGAACGCAACGTACCTATGCTCGCGTAGTGTTCGTCGGGGAACAGGGTCCCCGTCGAGGACCCCGACGGGGAACGCGGAGAGCGCTCCCCTCCTGCGCAATGTGCTCCCCGACTTTTTTGCGGGGGAGCCCCCGTACAGTTTCCTTCTCGCGGAGACTCCCCTCGCGCAATTTGCTCCCTGACATTTTTTGCGGTCACCCTCCCTCCCGTCCAAAAAACTGCTCCCCGACGAACACTACGCTCGCGTATATCAATCAAGAGAAGTGATGCTTTCAGAAACGATTATTGATGAGAGATCTTATCGTTTCGTATTTACACGTTGCTGTGGTATGACCTTATCGCTTTTATGTCAACCTCAACTAGCCACTGAATACATATGATGCAACTGAATTCTTAGCGTAAACGACCGCGTCAGACATCACATACAGCTCAATGCACCTCGCTTATGCGACACAACAGACACGTGCAAAAAACTTTTCTGGCTGAGGTTATAACAGAACATGCGCTAGAAACGGGTCGAAAGTGCATTCCTACGTTGCTGCGCTGAACAAATTGAAACTGATATTCACAAATTGAATGAACTATCGAAACAGGAGTTTTAAAAGCAGTCAAAAAATAATGAACTTGAAAGTGAGAAAAAAACATTGTTATTCCAAATGTTTGCTGATTTCAAATATATTGCTCCTATCTAATAGGTAGGACACAGCCTTTTGTGAATCAGCCATTCTAAACCAACGTTATAATCATTAGTTATCTTACCGTGAACATTTTTCGACGATACAAATGTTTCGCACGAAACGAATCAAAAAACGATGCGTAAAAAGATGATATAAAAGGTCATTCCAAATGAACATTCAAATAGTGGTTACTGAACGGAACCTTTGCTGGGTGATGTTGAAGGTGTTGTGCTTGTGTCGGTTTTTGTTTTTGTGTCGGGTGAGATTTAGAATCATCAGATGTGCTAGTAGTTTGGCGTTGACTTGATGCATCCTTCGATGAATGAATCTTCGTGAGATGCGTGTCTTGCTTGTTATTCACATTCACCTCAAACATTCTATGCTGTTGCGATTAGACTTCAAGAAAGTATTCAAATGCAACGAAACGCAAAATTTCTCGAAAGATCGAATGAAAAATCAAATTCATTGAAGTATAGTGCTTCATTCAATCAGATTAGAAAAGTAGAGACTTATCTTAAAACTACGTCATTGGTGATAAATTGGATAAATGTACTTGTTTGCGCACACATTGAAGTAGTGTGCATCGAATGAAATGATTACTAACCACAATATGTAATTATCGCAGAAAATTTCGTTTTGGTTTCTTCATTATTATTCCTTAACACCAGGCTGGCCTTTTCCACCTCACATTTAATCACATGGATTTTTAAAGCATAATCGCTGCGTGTGCATGTTCAACAACACAACTGGATTTTCTCCGATGACCTAACTATCCTCTTTACTTTTTACGGTAATACTAAAAAATGATTCTCCTATTGGTGCAGTCAAGCGGAAATTCCTAGCAAAATTCCTTGAACGCCATCCATTCGTGAAAGCTTCAAACGTGCAAACGTGAAATTGGCTTGAAGTTTTTTGTGGAGGTTTTGACGTCCGATTTCATCTGTGAACGCGATAAAAGATGCATTGATGTTGTCTCAATTATTTAGGAAGCACCAGTGGGAAATAACCACGGAGAATACTTTATACTAACCTTTCATCCAAAATAGAACTGCTTGTATATAGCATCTTAATGTTATTGATTCATCAGAATGTCTCTTTTAAAGTCTCATGCTGTTTATGTGAGCTGAACTCTAGTTTCATGAAACTGAAATTGAAAATACCCTCAGATGGCTTACTTCGATACGTCTATTGTGAGCAGCACTTTCAGTCTCCTCTTTTGCAGCAAGCTTCATTTGCTCTAGTGCACGTTGAGCATCACGTTCAGTTACGTATCGTCGTACTTCGTGTCTAAAACAATTTGCTCATAGAGTTTTGTCATGAAATTCTATGTGTTGTCTTAAATTCTTAGATGTGATCATTAGATGTGATGTTCATTTTGATGAACGATTGAAAATTAATGGATAAACTTCCAAGTTGATGTCTCTAAAAATTCATTCCTTACACATGCAAAAAAAAACTTGAGAAATTGTTTCTGGCAAAAAAAAGAATTCACAGTGGTGAGCGCTAGCGCATTAATCGCTAATCCCACATTAACAAAGCTATTTTTTTGTCAGCGCATTGATCCGCTAGTTATTTGTTTAGTGGAACCAACTTCCCCAAAAATTACTATTTTTGGCGTCACAAGTGGAGATAAATGCTGCTATTTTTTTTTTCTTTACGTCTTTTTGTCCTGTTCGTAAAATTTCGCAAATGCGTTAATCTTTGTCTTGAGGGAAATGCTGATTTTCATATCAGCAAGTTATTGCATGCTGCAATGCTATCTCACTGAAGTCCCATAGTCGAGTTGATACATCGTGGTCAGTCAAACATTTTGATCAGATTATTGAACAGTGATGAATGAAACATGAACTTCAGTCTGCCTCAGTCCCTTTGGCATCCTCAAATTCTCTCCCACAGAAAATTTCTTGTCATCCTGCCCTATGAGACCCATTGCTAGGAGCAGCGGCACTCTCTGAGCTCGATTCTGTTCGTCACGGAAATAGACAACCTTGATAATAATTTTTCCTGTGTCAATCGCCTTCCCAAATGGAGATTTTTGACGGGGCCACTTATAATTTATCTGAGCCCTTCAATAAATTATTTTTGATAATTCAGTTGACTCTTTAAAAACATTAAAGCACGCATTAAAAAGGTTCGTGTGAACCGATGTTGAACCATAGTTATGTTTGATTATAATCAAAAACTGCGGAGATCTGATGAACTTTTCTCAACTCTTGCATGTGTTGCATTCCTATACGATAGACGTTCACAACCACGCAGAATGTCTCCGTATTGTGGCATTGGGGATGTTGAATCGTCTCTTAGAAACATTTATGAAAACTCAGTTCATTCACTGTATCCATAAGCTGTTGAATATAAAAGGGAATTGCGGAGGATACGCTGAATCTAAAGAAGGGACTGGTGCAATGAGGAATTTTTTTCCGAAAAAATTCACAGTGTTATTCGTGAGCAGAAAATGGGGATCAGCTTAGAAGTAATTCATGGAATGATTTTTATGATTTGAATTATTGAAGGAATTTATCGCTAATTTTCGCAATCCGCAGCGCTGTTAGCAAAAAAGTTCTCGTTGATTTTTCGTTAGCAGCATTGCTCACTTACTAACCATTATTAACTTATTAATATCACTGAAATAAACGAAGTTTTTTCAATGGATTAGCGTTTAACGGATTTAAAATTTTTCATTAGCGCGCCCAATACTGAAAAATCATAAGCCAACTTTGAAGGAACTTCATAATTGGCTTCTAGGATTCAAGCTTCAGTGTAGCTTTTTGACCATCCGTCAAACTCCAATCAGACGAAGAATGAATTATCAAATACATATTAGAATGAATAAGCGAAAATTTGAAGCATTCAATTTGAACATTACATTAGCGAGAAAATTTTGGTCCTAAAAAACAGTTAATGCAGCAGTAATTTCGCATTTTGATTTGATGGATAGAAATTTGATATGATTACTGCATACCTGAAATCAACTATTTCTCCAGGATTCAAATCGCCTGAACTATCAACGTCAACCTTTTCGAAGAACAATCGAATATTGGGTCGATCAATCTTATATTTCTGCTCAATTGCATCCTCCAACTCATCCAATGTCACTGATTTGTCATGGTTCGTATCAAACTCCTGTATACAGTTACAACTTTGCATAGGCATCTTATTCACTCCGAATCCATTCTACTATCGACATACTTTCCAGAAAACGTTTATTATTGATGCATTCATTCGAAGTGATATTTTTTCTTCTCTAATGGTAACGTTTTAGCACTTATAAGGATTCAATACATTGTTTGCGTTAAATTCCAGGTATATACATCTTAATGTCGTCATTGACGCTTTATATATGAATCATATGATGAATTTGGATTGCGATAAACTTCATAAATTTCATTCTAAATGTGCAAATGTAAACCTTGAAATGGTCTGTAGCGAACTTGATGGCACTCAATCGTACAAGACGAAGCAAATCAGCCAATTCGACCTTGTCCAGCCGACCGCTCTTATCCTGAATTTAAAAACAAATTGATTAAGTTTTCAACTGAACCCAACGAATATTGCATTTATGAATTAAATGTTTCTGTTGACTGAACTACAAACGAATTATTTTGGTACCTTATCACATGTAACAATTAATCAACAGTAATGATTGAATGACCTGATCGGCGACATTAAATAAGTTGTAGGTTTCTTTTGAGTCCATATCATCTTGTCTTCGAGCCATCGCAACAGCTTCTGAATTGCTCACTAGCCCATCACCATCAGTGTCAATCTCCTCAAATAGTTATTTCAGTTTAGTGGAGTCAGTGCATTTATGCATTTAGTTCACCAGGACTGATTTGACTACTACCACGACTCTGTAGTATTTAGTTTATCCATCAGTTCCTTTCCATAATCCTAATGGAGTGGAATGCTTAGTTGCTCACCCAAGCGATCAAGTGATATTAACCATACTCCGCTAATTTCTTGCAATAAGGAACGTTTGCCGAGACGTAGAATTAAGAAAACACAATGATTGAAATTTCGGAGGATTAATTGATAAACAGTAGGAGAGTATCACCACCTGCATTGCTTCCATAGCATTTTTGACAGCTTGACTGCGAATAACAGATCTGAAACCGGCGAATTCGACTGCATCCAATTGTCCATCTTCGTTCTCGTCAGCTTGCGCAAAAAACGGACCGAGGACTTTCTCGTCAAAACCGTAATGGTCAAATGCGATGCGTTTTGCTTCATCCATCGTCAGAGTTCCTGAACCATCACGATCCACCACCTTAAGCTAATCTCCACATTCATCGACGGCTGATAATATCAAATAACATCCGTGCGGACCTAATCGCATCGGAACAAAAAATTTGCAGCATAACATTAACGAATGACTTTCGTCTGTATGCATCGATGCTTTTATAGAGAGGACTACAAAATAAAAACGAATTTCATAGCATTTTTGCAGAAAAAGTTACTTTGAGAGCTTTTTTTGACGTATCAACGGCTCGAGCCCTGACGATTCGTTCGAAATCAGCAAACTCAGGTGCGTTCAATTCCCCGTCGTTGCTATCATCAACGGAAATCAAAATTTCGTTAACGTCTCCTGCACCAATCCCTTCCTGTTCGAACGCAACTTGTTGTGCCTCTTTCAAATCAATGTGACCGTCTTCATTTTTATCGGCATTCTGCAACAAACGAACTCGAATCAACCTTAATACCCAGCCAAATCATTTCACCTATTAACGCCGTCATTGTTTAGGGTTCCTTGAACGATGCATTGGTAAATTTACAAATAGACAGTTGTGATATTCAGTTGAAAATCATTAACCTTCATAATTTGTCTCGCAAGTCTGATAGACATTCCACGAATACGACGTCTCAATTTGCTGAACAAAACTGCATCCATCTTCTCGCTACTGCTCGGTATTACCAAATGCCAGACTCGTTCAACATCGCGATTACCAATGCCATATTCTTTCAGAATGTACGCTTGTGCTTCTTTCAGTGATAATAAATTGTCATGGTCCAGATCAACAGACTGAAAATTCTTACAGGCAATATTTTTAATATCAACTGGAACGGTATACTTTGATTCATGAATGGATGGATTATGAGAGAATGACGCAGTACCTGCATATAACGGAGTGCAGCATTCTCGGCTTTTGCGAGTACTAACGGCCTGATGTCGTTGAATTCGAGCGATGTCAAATAACCATCACGATTTTTGTCAACCTAAAATTTCGGCACTGTAACATTGGTTCTAATCGAAAACATAAAGCAAGAGTTATAGTCAAGATGCCATTAGTAGAGACTGCCAGGCAAATTAGTGATTCGAAGCAAGAATACCCTAAATGAAGAATAAATGAGCAAAATGAAGGAGCAATCACTTCTTTGAAGAGGCCATCAACAGCACTGCTCGAAAGACCGTGATGTACAAACGCTGCATATTTAACTTCAGCAAGGCTCAACGCACCGTCACCATCCAAATCAACATTCTTATCAACTGGTGGTGGATTTTGTGCCGGTTTTACTTGATTTGTTGGGTCTGCTTGGGCGGCTGCGGATGGTTGAGATGAAATATGAGGAGCTACTCGATTTGGCACTTCTATGAAATATTTGAGAATATTTTTTTCCATCCTCTGTTATGATCTACATATATCATTAAAGATACTGCGATCGTCATCAAATTCAAGCCGTGTTCAGAGACATGCCTTTGCATGATCCCCGTGTGCTAGGAGCAATTTCTTTTGTGAGGTCTTTTCAGTTTCGGTTTATCGAAATGAACCAGTAGCTGCACGGGAATCAGAGATTGACTCGTGAAACAAATTTCCAAGAGAAAGTTCCTTTCGAACGAAAAAGCTTCAATGGCAGAGCAAATGACGTGAAAAGCGTTACTTTGTTGTCCGTTTGTCGGTGAGAACTGCTTAGATGGTTGAAGTCGAGCGGGTAAATGATTGATTTGTGCTGTAAATAAACAAAATGATTTGGTGCGGATACTTGTGCCGAATGCATTTATTGCTTATATCGTTTTGATGATTATTTTCATCTCACATTCTGTAACATTTGAAATTCTTCATTTACTATGGTGAGTGTACGTTTAAATCATAACAGTTCTAAATCATGTGATGCGCACTCAGTATCTCATCATAAAAACTATCACTACAAGAACCACTCAACTTTCCATATTTAAAACGAGTGTATCAAACAAACCATTTTGAGATGTTTGCCGCGGAAATCTCGGAACAGCGTTAATGCTAGTCGCCAGGATAACAGCTATCAAGAATGTCTGCTGGCCCATCTGCAAGAAAAATTGAAATGAACTAGTGAACAAATCGAAAGTTATTTTCTGGGGGGAGGAGGGGGGGGAGTCTCAAATTAGGCGTTGAGTTATTATGAGCACAAGAGTGGTAAATATTAAATGATGAATTGAACTTAGAAAGTGATAAATTTCTGATGGAATGACAAGTAAAAGAAATAAAGCTCATGCGATGTTTTCGAACGTTTTGATATGAGTTCGATTGGAATCAGAACTATTTTTTGCGACGCATTAAGAATTTAGTATTTGAGCAGCAAAAATATAACATCGAACATATATATCGCATCGATATCAAATGCAACTGGAAAATAGCACAAAAGGGATGAATACATCAAGATTGAACGATATGAGAGTTTGATAAATTAGTTGTCATTGCGGTTGAACAGCGATCAGAAACACTTTCAGTATTGGAGATTATCTGGCAAACTGCTAGACGCACATCACAGGTTATTGACATTGTGTTCGCAAAGCAAGGTTAACCACTGAGTTGACGGTGATAAACAAGTTGAAACGAGCTTTTCGCCTTCGGCATCTCCAGTTCAAATCACAAAGGAAATGCGATATGGTGCTAATCAAGTATTCACCTGCTCTGTATGGACACCGATCAAAACGTAACGATCCTTTTCGCAATGCTCGTCAGATAAAAAAAGAATGGTTCACGAATGAATTGCTCAAAGGTATAAACCCTTGAATGTCTTACACTGAGGTCTCGAACAGTTGATGTTCAGCCAAGAGCAATCTTTCTCAAGGAGTAGGACAAGAGCGTTTCGGAAACATAGAAGGCAATCAGTAGTGCAAAGGATGTAACAATCGAAATATGTCGGAAATGTTTCAATAAATCAATGACTATCAAATTCCCCGAAAACGAATCAATGAAAATTGTGATTTTCTATATGAACGCGTTCAAACGCTGCTCCCGAATTAGGTTATATGACTGAAGATGAGAACTCTTTTGAGAGCTGCAAGCGATTTTCAAACTGAAATTTTAACTAACTTCCATTGATCAGTGCACAATCATCATTCTGACAAATTTTAGAGACCAAAAAGAGGATGTAATTTGGAAGAGAAAAAAGGTTTGAATGGGGATAAGGTGAATGCTGGAAGTATGGGAGAGTGCTTGAACAATAATGAGTGAAACACTCAGAAAAATTGTGTTCTCATGCTACTACAAAAAGAAGTTGTGTGAGCAAGAAATTAAGATGAACTCAGGAAAATAGTTTGCAATGCGTAAATTTTGCATTCCCAACATTGAGTTAATAAATTTAAAGATGAAAAATGATGCACGGATGTGTACAAGACAATGTCGAGCAAGGTTGTCGTTTCACAGTTTGTTCTTCTTTTCTAATTTATTTCTTTTCATGTTCAACTGCCATTCAATGATACACATTAACCAGTCAAGGTCAGATAGTGACTTCAAATGATTATCGAACCTTTCCCATGATTGTATCTAAATAAAGTATTCGTTTCTCATCACTGTTTCTTTGGGTACAGAAGTTCCATTCCTTTCCCTCTCCAATGCGAAGGATGTAACAAAAAGGCCTGGGATCCTTCAAGTCCAATGTTCGAATCGCATTCAACTCAAAGTCCACAAATGCACGCATGCACTTCAGACTAGTGTAGTACCGGGGTCGGGGAATTTCGAGAACCCCGCTCTCGAATCCCCGTCTCCGGCTTTTCTCTAGCCGACCACATTTTCGGGGTCCCTGACTGCAAAATTTTGACCCCGATTTTCCCCTTCCCGGCTTTTTTTTNTTTTTTTTCCGACCCCGTTCCACACTACTGCAGACCGTTGTCGCTGAGTATGGTGCGAAGGAGTATGGTGTGAAATTACACTTTGCGAGTGAGCGAGAATATGATGTAGTTGTGTCAAGCTGCCGAAGAATGAGTGAAACATGCTTATAATATAATAGAAGAGATACTCCTCATTAGGACAGCTTGTCATAATGGTCAGCATCGTTATATACGGTTAGAATTGTTGAGGTGCACATTTTGTCAGCTAAAAACAACCTGGTAATCAAAGCAAGAAGGAGAGGATATGGCAGCAAAGTAAACTGTGCGCTTAAAAAAGGTCCAGTCAAATAATGCAAGACATAGCTCTGGTGCAAAAGCGTTGACAGCAGTACTCTTATTCAAAGTCACGCAAATGAAATGAAATATGATTTTTGAACAAATACTTTAGTGAAACATTGAAATATTTTAAATTCTTGCTTCCTTCCTGAAATTACAATTATCACAATAACGAACGAAATTCAGACAAATCGCATCAATAAAAGCAACAATTGATTGCACTGCTCCATTGAAGGAATCCAACCCCTACAAACGATGATGTGTTACAGACAAGGAGAACATCGTAAATGAAGGTTGAAACTCATCTGCATCACAAAAGGACCACATGGGAGGTATTACTTCATCGATACGAACTGAACGAATAATTTCGTTTGTAAAAAACGACGAAGATTATGGAGCATCATGATGTTAAGACGAGCAGCTATTGAGATATCAATGTCGGACGCATATCAAATATTCACGCCTTATTAACCTAAAAAAACGTACAAAACATTTAGAATTGACCGATTTCCATACCCACAATCTGATAGCACTTTCTTTGAATGTCTTTCATTCGTCCGCGTTGTAGGAATGAACCTGTGTAGTATTTGAGATGACCCAATTTCAATCAGAATTGATATGATACTTTTCGAAAGTGATTCCACTTAGCGCCAATTGTTTTATAATCGAATTCAATGATTCACTCAAAGTTGCAATAAACTGTCTAAAATTTTTCTGTTAATGATCATGACTTCCATCAATGAATTAGTCGATTTCTCTCGAGTGAAAATCTCGCTTTAAATCGAACGCTATACCAATGAAATGAGTATTATTGAGTCTTAGCCAGGTTATGCGAAGTGAGCTTATCGCTAGACCATTCGGTTTCGAATAGAATTTCGCTCCACGAGCGGAATCTAAACCCATTACGTGTTAATTTTCGATAGAATGTTTTAAACAACTGCGCTATTGCGGAAAACATGAAATCATCATTGGATGGTAATCAGTTCATAATCAGTTCTTCGGTACAAACAATAATAAACTGATCAGTGCCACTCTCGAGTGAAAATCTCGCTTTAAATCGAACGCTATAGCAATGAAATGAGTATTATTGAGTCTTAGCCAGGTTATGATTTGGCTTGTACCTAATCACCTAATCATCCATCCGTGTGACATGAGTTCCATCAAAAAACAATGAATCTGAACGAAATTTAACACAGCTTTCCCCAACAACACAATCGTTACTTGTGTGTCGTTGAATCGTGATGAGACTGCTGTCGTTTTGCAAAAATAAACATTCGAATAAATAAGCACGCATAAACAATATTGCTAACAATAATAAGAGCATGAAAGCCGCAAATTTCTCGCCGGTAACATTTACATATTTCAAGATGCTGAGGTCATGTTTCACTCCGTCAACATAGTCAAATCATTCACTTCTGGCAAAACCTGAGGTGAATATGGGCGATAGAATGGCGAATTCCGCTCATACTGATGTGAGAAGTTGATTGCTAAGAGAAAGACTCAATCGCAAAAAATACACAAGCCAGAGGGACACAAACATTTCGTGGGAACTCTCGGATGATACCATCATGACAGCGGAGTCATTTGATCATTCTCTCAGCGCAAATTTTGAGAGTGACAGGTGTTTGGAAGTGTCTGGGCTCTCTATTGTATGTAGCTTATTGCTACATCAGTACTGGACGTCGAAAAACGGGACTCAAACTTATTGCAAGCGCAAAATATAGTCCTGTCCAGATGTTCAGGCCCTACTGGACCTTACTCTTTTGGCAATACCCGAGATTGACGAGCAAGTGAAAATGGCAACGATTCTAGTTTCTTAATAAATGAAAACGGTAAAGTCGTCCGACCGTTCCGTGAACCCTTTGGTAGGCAGAATTCTCATCTGTAGGAAAAGTATATGTATACGTTGCTCGAAGATTATGCATAGTTCCAAAGTTGCAGCTAATTTTCTAACGATATGTCGCAGTTGGGCATCGCTGACCAAATGTGCGTTCATGTTCTTCTTATGTTCAGCTGACTCTGAAAACTCCAAAAAATTCCTATTCGAAAGAAATTCATTTGAAAAGAAAAATCAATGATGATAAAACAAAAATCAGGCCTGCTAGGAACTCCCTGATTCTACTCCTGTGTCCATTTTCAATTTCTCTTATCTTTTGCATTATTTTCAGTATCCAGTTCGCTTCGCCTCATTTCATAATTTCAATGTGTTTTGTAAATTTGATGTGAAACAACACCTAAATCATCATGTATGAAGCGAAGCTCTTACGATCAACAGATGAAGAGTAAAACTTTCCTATAGTTGAGTTTCGTTTGCGTGCAAAGCTGCTATTTGAGTATTCGGCAAATTAACAGTTCAAGTTTCATAAGGTGCCACTCGGCCCTGCATTATTCCGTCAAATTTTCCAAGATCATAGCGTCAAACAATCACTACTGGAGCAGTGAGAGAAAATAAGGAACTCTATCATTCTAACTCATTTTTTGTATTGCTAACAAAAAATATTTCTCACCTCATCCGGAAGAATGAAAAAAAATAAACATTTATCAGAAGGAGATAGGTAAAAGAATGCATTCCAATCAAAAAACATTGGGTAAAGGAAACAATCTTACTGATCTGCTATTAATCTAACTTCAACATTTCTCTAACTGAAATAAATCTCATCAACCATACTTTGTTTCAACATAATTTGTAATTTAACCAATTTAATCGTTTTATCAAGAATAAATAATTTTAAGCAACCGCAGATACTGCAGATATTATCAGTTTGTGGTGAAATTTCTCAATTGGTACACAACGGAGAGGAGTCCCTGGAGATCATATGCGTGGAGCTACGCATCGGCACTAGTTTGTTGTTAAGTTGAAAACCATTCTTGTTTATAAAAGTCTTTGTTTATATAAGTCCCTAGTTTTTTGTTATTGGTTATCATTGATTCATTTTTTGATTGTACTCTGTTAGATTTTTAAGGATTCAGTAATTGCTTTTATGAAATCAGATATTCCATTTGGTTGCAGCTGAGAAAACGATCGAATGATTTTGCTCTGTTGAGGAGCGATGTAAGGTTTGTTATGGCCCTCTTCAAGGCTGGTGGCTCGGTGTCGGCTCCAGGCTCCTCTATGCTTATTGAACCCCAAAGCACAATGTGACCCCAATTCACCGCCGGTCCATCGCACATTTGTTTGCAAGCTGTGTTTCTTTAAAGCTTCACATTTTCTCTGCATGCATATTTTTCGCGCTAACGCAGACGGCACTACAGTGTTCAACTATAAGAAGACTTTAAATGAGCATCAGTCACTAGAATTTAGGGCAGTTGAATTGTCAGTGAAAAATTTGCCGCACTTAAGGGTTTAATTACTGAAAGATAACTGAACGAAACATTCGAATTCATTTTCTATTCCATTATTGAAGTTTT